TAGTGGCAGAAACTACACACTGTAGGTTTAAACAGTTTGAGTTATTAATGTTGGTATTTTATTTTGAAAAGTCAAATAGAGTCAGTGTACTGGGTGATATAAATATCTATAATATATATCATTATAGATATTTATATGATATTTGATTGTATATTACAGGTTGGAAGCAGCTCTGACTCCATGTTAAATAAAACAGTGACCCAGTAAAGTTTCTTTCCATTGAGTCAGAAACAAAAGCTCTCACTGATATTCTGCCCAGCAGCTGGTTGGGTTTCACTGCACACAAAGCCCACTGCAGCCAGCACACGGGCCGCTAGCTGCTAGCTACTATCTGACCTGGAGGGGGGGGGGGTTTCAGTATCCAGTCAGAGAACTGCAGTGTGCTGTGAATGCTGGGAGTGTATCTGCAGTGAGGCCGCAGCACAGACACAAACCCTCAACCACAAGAGCTGCATTGTGTTTGCTACCTGATGCATTAATCATCCTGCTTGAACTCGGTCCAGCTCTGCGTTCCAGCGTGGATTTAGAGAACCAGTTCCCCTCAAAGACTCTGCAGCACTACAGGAGTCTGAACCGCACTGACAACATTCAATACACACATCATTATATTATTATTAATATTATTACTCATTAATCTTTGTTTGCACCTGAAGGTTTGTATTGGTCGTCAGCTTTCATTTGCTTTAATCAGATTTGTTCTAAAATGAAGCAGAATTTAATTTCCAGTACATCCAGTTCTGACCCCGACTGTGGCCTCGCAGCACACTCTGAATATTGGTTATCAATTATTGATCTCATGTAGGCTCATGATTCAATCATTTACATTTCTGTTGTTGCTCTGGTGTTTCAGTGTTTCTGTCCAAACAGAATCTGATGAATAATTCAGAAAGAATAAAAGCAAACTGTGATTATTAAAGCAGCAACAGAACGTGTGAATTATGGTTATATGACGATAACGTTAAATAACATTATTATATATCTGAGTGGATATGTTAGCTGGCTAATGTAAGCTTTCCCAGCTAACATGATCCATGATACTAACTCATGTATTCTGACAAACGGTGTTGATTTTAGCAATAATAAATGATGCTTCAGTCTGATAACAGTGTCTGAGGCTAATGTGTGCAACAGTCTATAGCAGCGAGCTAACAGCCTATAGCAGTGATGTGACTGAACATAAGATTGTCAATTTTATTGAAAACCCCTTCCATGTGGATGTAACCCTAACCCTAACCCTCACATCGTAATTGTGCCGCTCTGGAGAGTGAAATAATTGAGCTGCAAACAAATGACATTCTCCAAGTTGAACTCAGAGCAGGTGTTGGCCACTTCTGGACTTTGGTTTCTGTAGCAGACTTTCCCACTTTGAAACCACTTGCACAGAAAGTGATGTCTTTCTTCATGAGCACATACAGCTGTGAGTCAACATTTTCAACCATGAACACTATAAAGAGGAAACAGAGAAACCGACTGACCCACGGTCATCTTGAATGCCTCACTCTGATTGCAACAACAAACTACAAATTCAACATGAAGAAAGTCAAGGACATACACGTCAGCTTCCGCTCATCCCAGTATTAAGGTAAATATGGTCTTAATTGAAAATGTATTGGCTGTGTTGTTTCTTTTTTTGTGGGAATTTATATGTAGAAATGCACATTTGCAAAGGTGACTTGGTATGTTGTCGTAAAAGTGGCTCTCTCCTTGATTTTGCTCTGCCAATGTGATAGTGAGGATCACCGGTGTACAGTCTCTGCATTGTGATCAATGTCACTGACAGTAAAAACTGATCGTTGATCTTCAGTGAATAATTGATTTGATCTTGTTGTGATCAATAATCAATGAGGTCACAGCTTCAGATCAGCCAGCAGCCGCTTTTATCCCTGACAGTGAGGAAGATAAAACACTGAGGAGGAAGAGGAGGAAACACTTATGAAGAGTCTCCATGAATACAAACCCAAGAGAGGAAGAGCGACAGCCCCAAATTTAAATAAAACTAATGAATATATTACAGCCCTCTTTCATCTTCGTCCTCATGGATTCACATCCTCTTCCTCTCTGGAGGACTGAGGAAGAGGAGGAAACACAGAGAGGAAGAGGTGGAAACACTGAGGAAGAGGAAGAAACACAGAGAGGAAGAGGAAGAAACACAGAGAGGAAGAGGAAGAAACACAGAGAGGAAGAGGAGGAAACACAGAGAGGAAGAGGAAGAAACACAGAGAGGAAGAGGAGGAAACAGAGAGGAAGAGGAAGAAACACTGAGGAAGAGGAAGAAACACAGAGAGGAAGAGGAGAAACACAGAGAGGAAGAGGAAGAAACACAGAGAGGAAGAGGAGGAAACAGAGAGGAAGAGGAAGAAACACAGAGAGGAAGAGGAGGAAACAGAGAGGAAGAGGAGGAAACACTGAGGAAGAGGAGGAAACTGAGAGGACAAGGAGGAAACACTGAGAGGAAGAGGAGGAAAAAGATAGGAAGGAGGATACACAGAGGAAGAGGAGGACACACAAAGAGGAAGAGGAGGAAACAGAGGAAGAGGAGGAAACACAAAGAGGAAGAGGAGGACACACAGAGAGGAAGAGGAGGAAATATTGAGGAAGAGGAGCAATTATTGAGGAAGAGGAGGAAACTTTGAGGAAGAGGAGGAAACTTTGAGGAAGAGGAGGAAACTTTGAGAAAAAGGAGGAAACACAGAGAGGAAGAGGAGGAAACAGAGAGGAAGAGGTGGAAACAGAGAGGAAGAGGTGGAAACACTGAGGAAGAGGAGAAACACAGAGAGGAAGAGGAAGAAACACAGAGAGGAAGAGGAGGAAACAGAGAGGAAGAGGAAGAAACACAGAGAGGAAGAGGAGGAAACACTGAGGAAGAGGAGGAAACACTGAGGAAGAGGAGGAAACTGAGAGGACAAGGAGGAAACACTGACAGGAAGAGGAGGAAAAAGATAGGAAGGAGGATACACAGAGGAAGAAGAGGAAACACAAAGAGGAAGAGGAGGAAACAGAGGAAGAGGAGGAAACACAAAGAGGAAGAGGAGGAAACACAAAGAGGAAGAGGAGGACACACAGAGAGGAAGAGGAGGAAACATTGAGGAAGAGGAGGAAACACAGAGGAAGAGGAGTAATTATTGAGGAAGAGGAGGAAACTTTGAGGAAGAGGAGGAAACTTTGAGAAAAAGGAGGAAACACAGAGGAAGAGGAGGAAACACAGAGGAAGAGGAAGGAAACACAGAGGAAGAGGAGGAAACACAGAGGAAGAGGAGGAAACACAGAGGAAGAGGAAGGAAACACAGAGGAAGAGGAGGAAACACTGAGGAAGAAGAGGAAACACAAAGAGGAAGAGGAGGAAACACAGAGGAAGAAGAGGAAACAGAGGAAGAGGAGGAAACACTGAGAGGAAGAGGAGGAAACACTGAGAGGAAGAGGAGGAAACACTGAGAGGAAGAGGAGGAAACACTGAGAGGAAGAGGAGGAAACACTGAGAGGAAGAGGAGGAAACAGTCTCTGGTCAAAAGGTCAAAAATTGGTGAGTTTATTTTTATCTCTAAGCTGTAATCAATAATCAATAATAATAATAATAATAATAATAATAATAATAATAATAATAATAGTGTGTTTATCCTCTCCCTCTCTCTCTCTGATGAAGAGCTTCCTCACAACCAGAGACAAACAGTGTTGTTGGGGGGCGGCGGTCTGCAGGAGGATCAGCTCCGCCCCCCCGCAACCCAATCTGATCCACCTGCTGTTGTTCGGGACTCAGAGCCTCGGGCACCGGAACCTGGATCCAAGTGGATCTAAGAGGATCTAAGTGGATCCAAGTGGATCAGGAGACTCACCCTCGTTCTGGATCCAGAGCGATGGCCCTCGGCTGGTCCAGCTCCTGCCAGAACAAGACTTTCCTCAGAGACCCGTCCAGCTCCGCCACCTCGATCCGATTGGTTTCCGAGTCCGTCCAGTAAAGTTTGCTGCCCAACCAATCGCAGGCCAGTCCGTCCGGGGACGCCAAACCCGGGACCACGATCTGGATGGCGCTGGCCCCCGACTGGTTGAAGACGGTGCGTTTGATGGCCTCCTCGCTCACGTCGCTCCAGTAGATGAGACCCTGCGCGTACACGTAGTCCACAGCAGCGGCATCCTCCAGGCCCCCCACCACCACCGTGGCATTGGCCTTTTCGTGTGCCGCGTCCACGAGCCGGAGGTCGCGGCGGTTCGCATACAGCAGCAGCGGCACGCCTGGAAGACACACACCCACTGCGTTATACACATACACACACACACACCCCCAATGCGTTATAAACAAACACACACACACACACACACACACTGCGTTATAAACAAACACACACACACACACACACACACACACCCACTGCGTTATAAACACACACACACACACACACACACACGCTGCGTTATAAACACACACACACACACACACTGCGTTATAAACACACACACACGCTGCGTTATAAACACACACACACACACACACACACACACACACACTGCGTTATAAACAAACACACACGCTGCGTTATAAACACACACACACACACACACACACACACACTCACACACACTCACACACACACACACACACACACACACACACACACACACACACACACACACACACACACACACACACACACACACACACACACACACACACACACACACACACACACACACACAGACTGCGTTATGAATTAAGTTCAGTATTTGGACCCGGGTTAGGGTTAGGGTTAGAAGAAGTCGGGGACTTTCACTGGACCCCCGTCCTAACTGCGCTGCAGGTCACCGAGCAGCTCTGGCTGCCAGCTACTTACTACACAGTGACAGCGACCCCTCTGACCGGGTCAGAACCAGGATTTCTTATTAATGCATCCGAATACGTCGAGTTGATATCAAACAAACAACTGAGATCAAAAACGTTTCAATTAACTGAAAACATAATTTCATTACCAATTAAAGAGCAAATGGTTCTCAGACTCCACTTTCTGTTCTATTATTATTATTATTATTATTATTGTTGCTGTTATTGTTATTATTGTTATTAGTATTATTATTGTTGTTATTATTAGTAGTAGTAGTAGTAGTACTGTTAATATTATCGATTCATCTGTCGATCATTATCCATTCATCGATTAGTTGTGACGTCCTGAAAACTCATTTTATCCTCACAGAAATCTTCAGTTTCCATTCAGAGGAAAATATTCACATAACTGATCAATTAATAGTAAGTGTAATCAGTAGTTGATAACTGATCAATTAATCGTAAGTGTAATCAGTAGTTGATAACTGATCAATTAATAGTAAGTGTAATCAGTAGTTGATAACTGATCAATTAATAGTAAGTGTAATCAGTAGTTGATAACTGATCAATTAATCGTAAGTGTAATCAGTGGTTGATAACTGATCAATTAATCGTAAGTGTAATCAGTAGTTGATAACTGATCAATTAATCGTAAGTGTAATCAGTGGTTGATAACTGATCAATTAATCGTAAGTGTAATCAGTAGTTGATAACTGATCGATTAATGGTTGCAAGAGGCCAAAAAATGAATCACCAATTATTTTGATAATCGATTAATCACCAATTAAATCACTTTAAAGCACAAAATGATGCCGTTTGATTCCAGTTGATTTTAAAGGTACAGTGTGTACTTTCTGCCACTAGGGGGCCTCTGACATCCAAACAGTGAGAAATCAGGAATCGTGATGAGGTGGTGAAGCAGCGTGGGATCATGGGAGTTGTTGTCTTCACCACCATTGGCGTCATTGCAGTCAGCTTCTCCCGGTTAGGATTCCTTCAGTGTTCATGGTTCAGGAGGTTTCTACCGGGAGCCCAATGATCCACAGAGGTCTCCTCCTCTCCAACACAAACAGACCCGCTGATTAAAACCACTAAACACACTGAATAAAGCAGTTCCACCTTAAACACACTGAATAAAGCAGTTCCACCTTAACAATCACTGCTTCTCCCACGCTGTTGGACAGACAAAGGACGTCCCGGAGGGGCTGCGAGCCGAGCTGCTGCTAACGTTAGCTCAGCTTGTTTCTCTGATAACTTAAGATCCAGACGTCCGATGACTAAAATCCTTCATCCGGTTCAAATCTAGAGTTAAAAAGCACCAAGATCTAAACAGTGGATGGTAACAATGTGGCTTCACACTGGATCAACAGTCAATGTATGACAGCTTCTGGCAGACAACCACAACGCTGACGTTATTGATTATCTTAACGGTATCGAGCGTGAGGAACAGGTCAATTATCGGTTAGTTATCGGCTAATAATAAATCAATATTGATAACCTGTAGTTGTTACACAGCTGGTGATATAGTGAGTAAAGACGGGTGATTTAATGTTCAACAACTCTGCTCTAACAACAACAACAACAACAACAACAACAACAGTGCCGACTCTTTCACGCTCTCTTTCTCAGAACATAAACAAACAAAATGAACTTCTGTCTCCGGGCCTGTGCAGTTTATTTATTTATAATGCAACTTTATATTATATTATATTATATTATGTTGTCTCCGGGGGCCTGTGCAACATACAACATACAACATACAACATACATGTGCAATTCACAACGCACATTTACACTTTGAACCGGTTTTATAATGTTTCTGTTTTATAGATTTATGTCTTCTTTGTTTGTCTCTCTGAGCAACAACCGCACAAGAGTTCCTATGTGTGCACAAAGGGCAAATAAAGTTCTTGAATCTTGAATAAAGACTGTTTATTGATTTGCCAGAATTATAAATAATCTATAATCACACATATTTCTGATTACTGATCAATAATGAACCTGTCTGTTAATTACTGTACATTACTAATAAAAGGTTGCTTTTAGTGTTTAACTGAAGAAGTTATTATACATATATAATATATAATATAATAAGTTTATCAATCACAACTGAATAAAAACATCAATCGGTCTTCAATTGATCCTTTAAATATTGATAAGATTAGAGTTGGCACAATAATAATAATAATAATATAAAGAGCTTCAGTTATAGAAAGTATTGATCTTTCACTTTATCTGAATGGATTTCTGTAGCGACATCAGTTAGCTCATTAGCTCATTAGCTCAACAACTGGAGTTAATTCTGATTTACAAACAAACAATAATAAAGCTTGTTGATTAGCTAACGTGCTAGCTTTACATAAATAAAGTGGGCAGCTAGCCGAATGCTAGCTCATAGCATTTGTTGTGCTAACTGCTGCCCAATCAATCAGTAATCGATTCCTTCTGTTTAACTCACTAAATACAAAGTGAGCATGCTAACAGCCGCTGCTAACGGGGCTACAACAACACATCCGCTGTTAAAGCCTAGCTCCGGGCTGTGTGGAGGACGGGGGGGGCAGCTAACATGCTAACACAGGCTAACTGTGGTTTCTTTCTCCTCTGAAACAAACAACACGGTTAGCACGCACAGCTAGCTGGCTAACGTTAGCTTCTCTGGGAAGAAATCAGTGGGCCCTCATCCCACTACCGCGAAGTCCCGCCCCCCTCCGCCTCTGATTGGCTACCACTCGTTGCCTTCATTGGGGTGATTGGTTAGCTTTAGGAATGAGGAATGTGATTGGTTAGCGTGACAGTAAGAATGTCGGGATGAGCCAATCAGAAGCAGTAGAGGGCGGGACATGACTTCCCCATCCTAGGGAGAAAAAAAAATATCGCGGCCCGCGGGACACAGCTCCAAATATCGTCCATTAAATGTGTTTTTGTGAGTGTTAAGTGCAGTTGGAAGCGTCCCCAGAGCGCACAGCCACAGTACACACAGCACAGACACACACTGCTTCACCCACTCACCTCGTATGACAAAACAAAAACTACACAACAACAGAGTCCGCAGCACGACACCCATCTTTCTCCCGTTTGTTGGCCCTCCGCCGCCGCTGTCCCTCAGCGCAGAGCTCCCATCGCTGCGGCCGCTGCTCGGACTCAAAGTGCGGCTCCAACTGCGGCTTCCTCCGGTCCTCAGCAGCGGTAATTCACTCACTCACACACACACACAGCGCGTTAAACGAGCCCCGCTGCCATCCTGGATGCTGCTAACTGCGTCCGATCAACTCTCTGTCTCACATTGTCCTGCAGGAGATCCGTCGTCTCCTTCCGCTGTGAGGAAGCTGTTCCCCCCTCTCCCTCTCCCCCCTCCTCTCCTCTCCTCTCCCCCCCTCCACCCCCCACCTCCTCCTCAGGGGCGGACCTACAGGAACACTGATGGGGGGCCACAAACACATATAAATATATATATATATATATATAAATATTAACATATATCTAACAATGCTCTTTTAATCCTTCACATTATATTGTTTAACACAATTCCCCCAAACAGCCTGAGACATCCTGATAGTTTGATTTTCATTTTAAAATGAGAATCAGGGAACGAGTTGTTAAAATAAAAAACATTTGATGTTTGGAAATCAGGAGAATTTCTCTGTCTTTATAATGCTGCTGACTGACAACAACCTCCAGCTCACACCTAATAAAATCAACACAAAACAGAGAAGTGAGATTATTCTGAGATTATTCTGAGATTAACATGAAGTTAGGGTTAGACGGACAGAGAAAAATAACAAAGAGTCAGAATACAGAATGAAACATTCATTTAAAAACAAAGTAAAATCTTTTTATTTAAATTCTGTTTTAAGAAAATAATAGTATAGTCATAAAGGTTTGAGGATAAAATTCAGAACATTAAACTTCAGATAATAAAATTGGCACATTTGTCTGAATTTGAACTGAAAAGTGAGAATTCAGTATTTATATTTCTTTTAACATTGTCCTCAATCGTCTTCCATACAACACTCACAGGTAAATCTACCTGTTTGTTATATATTTTATTTACTATCGTCCTACTTTATTTGTGTTTGACCCCGAAGAGGAAAGAGTTAACAACGTACAGTACAGACGTAAAGGCTTTAAGAAGAAAAAGTTAACAGAAATGCTTCTTTTGCAGCTTGTTTATAGATAATAATAATAAGAAGAATAATAATAATAGTCTTATTTTCAGACTCACCAGACGCTTCTGACACCTTCGATCACAACTTTATTATTGCATTGGAGATCAATTAATAATTCAAATAATAAACCACATTGTGGAGTTCCTCAGGGCTTCATCCTGGGACCACTCTTGTTTCTGATTTACATTAATGACCATTAACACGTTCTCTGTTGTTTCACGTTAAAACTTTCACACACTGATCCCAGTAACAAATAATCATGAGTGTTAATATCATAAATGTTTAACATGAACAAACTCAACATAAGGAAATATGTTACGATATTTTATAATAAAAAGCCGAAAAGCCAAACTATTCAGACACACTGAACTAATACAACATAAAAATATGGTTCCTTACATTAAATTTCTAGTAAATTAACATGGAAATACTGTATTGAATCATTGTTAAATTATTATTATTATTGTTAAATTATTCCTGCTATTATTATTCCTGTATTGAACTTTTATTACAGTTGAATTATTGATCCTTGTTATGAACAGTAAACTATTGTTATTTTGTTGTGAACAGAATCACACTTCCTCTATAAATGATTTATTTATTATTACAGATCTTTAAATATATAAAAACATGAACTGTATGTGAAAATACGTAAATAAAATTAAATAAGCTAGAACTTATCCACCATTTAAAAGTTTATGAATGTTTATTTAAATCAAAAAGAAGTCGCTGGCTAAGATAAAAGTGCAACAATGCTGTAGACCAGTTTTTTCAGCTATCAGTACTTTAAGTATTTATATTTATTTTTAGAGAAATATCTGAACTTTTAGACTACGTACACGATCAGGTTTGTTACTTTAGTTTGATCGCATTCTAGGGGAATTATTGATTATTATTATTTGCATCACTGAACGCCTTTCAAGACCGGTGTAAGAAGACCGAAAGGGGAACTCCATCGTATAGTTTCAGTTTTAAACAGTCGATCAAAGCATCCGTCTGAGAAACAGAATATTTTTACTTTTTGAGTTCATTTCAGAGCCTGAACTTTTATACTTTTACACAAGTATGTGTATGTGTAAGTATGTGTCTACTGGAGTAAATGACTTCTACTGGAGTAAATGAATAACTTCTACTGGAGTAAATAAATAACCTCTACTGGAGTAAATATCTTCTACTAGAGTAAATAAATAACTTCTTCTGGAGTAAATAGCTTCAACTGAAGTAAATAACTTCTACTGGAGTAAATAATTAACCTCTACTGGAGTAAATAAATAACTTCTACTGGAGTAAATAAATAACTTCTACTGGAGTAAATAACTTCTACTGGAGTAAATAAATAACTTCTCCTGCAGTAAATAAATAACCTCTACTGGAGTAAATACATAACCTCTACTGGAGTAAATACATAACCTCTACTGGAGTAAATAACTTCTACTGGAGTAAATAAATAACTTCTACTGGAGTAAATGAATAACTTCTACTGGAGTAAATAAATAACCTCTACTGGAGTAAATATCTTCTACTAGAGTAAATAAATAGCTTCTACTGGAGTAAATAGCTTCTACTGGAGTAAATAACTTCTACTGGAGTAAATAAATAACTTCTACTGGAGTAAATATCTTCTACTAGAGTAAATAAATAACTTCTACTGGAGTAAATAACTTCTATTGGAGTAAATAAATATATTCTACTGGAGTAAATAACTTCTACTGGAGTAAATAAATAACTCCTACTGGAGTAAATAAATATCTTCTACTGGAGTTAATAACTTCTACTCGAGTAAATAAATAGCTTCTACTGGAGTAAATAAATATCTTCTACTGGAGTTATTAACTTCTACTGGAGTAAATAACTTCCACTGGAGAAAATAAATATATTCTACTGTAGTAAATAACTTCTACTGGAGTAAATAACTTCTACTGGAGTAAGTAACTTCTGCTGGAGTAAATAACTTCTACTGGAGTAAATAAATAACTTCTACTGGAGTAAATAACTTCTATTGGAGTAAATAAGTAACTTCTACTGGAGTAAATAACTTCTACTGGAGTAAATAAATAACTGCTATTGGAGTAAATAACTTCTATTGGAGTAAATAAATAACTTCTACTGGAGTAAATATCTTCTACTGGAGTAAATAAATAACTTCTACTGGAGTAAATAACTTCTATTGGAGTAAATAAATAACTTCTACTGGAGTAAATATCTTCTACTGGAGTAAATAAATAACTTCTACTGGAGTAAATAACTTCTATTGGAGTAAATAAATAACTTCTACTGGAGTTAATAACTTCTACTGGAGTAAATAAATAGTTTCTACTGGAGTAAATAAATATCTTCTACTGGAGTTAATAACTTCTACTGGAGTAAATAACTTCTATTGGAGTAAATAAGTAACTTCTACTGGAGTAAATAACTTCTACTGGAGTAAATAAATAACTTCTACTGAAGTAAATATCTTCTACTGGAGTAAATAAATAACTTCTACTGGAGTAAATAACTTCTATTGGAGTAAATAAATAGCTTCTACTGGAGTAAATAACTTCTACTGGAGTTATTAACTTCTACTGGAATAAATAACTTCTACTGGAGTAATTATCTTCTACTGGAGTAAATAACTTCTACTGAAGTAAGTAACTTCTGCTGGAGTAAATAACTTCTACTGGAGTAAATAAATAGCTTCTACTGGAGTAAATAACTTCTACTGGAGTAAATAAATAACTTATACTGGAGTAAATAACTTCTACTGGAGTAAATAAATAACTTCTACTGGAGTAAATAACTTCTACTGGAGTAAATAAGTAACTTCTACTGGAGTAAATAACTTCTACTGGAGTAAATAAATATCTTCTACTGGAGTTAATAACTTCTACTGGAGTAAATAAATAGTTTCTACTGGAGTAAATAAATATCTTCTACTGGAGTTAATAACTTCTACTATATATTTTCTGTTGGAGTTAATAACTTCTACTGGAGTAAATAAATAACTTCTACTGGAGTAAATATCTTCTACTGGAGTAAATAACTTCTATTGGAGTAAATAAGTAACTTCTACTGGAGTAAATAACTTCTACTGGAGTAAATAAGTAACTTCTACTGGAGTAAATAACTTCTACTGGAGTAAATAAATAACTTCTATTGGAGTAAATAACTTCTACTGGAGTAAATAAATAGCTTCTACTGGAGTAAATAACTTCTACTGGAGTAAATAAATAACTTCTATTGGAGTAAATAACTTCTACTGGAGTAAATAAATAACTTCTACTGGAGTAAATAAATATTTTCTACTGGAGTTAATAACTTCTACTGGAGTAAATAACTTCTACTGGAGAAAATAAATATATTCTACTGGAGTAAATAACTTCTACTGGAGTAATTATCTTCTACTGGAGTAAATAACTTCTACTGGAGTAAATAAATAACTTCGACTGGAATAAATAACTTCTATTGGAGTAAATAAATAACTTCTACTGGAGTAAATAACTTCTACTGGAGTAAATAAATAACCTCTACTGGAGTAAATAACTTCTACTGGAGTAAATAACTTCTACTGCAGTAAATAAATAACCTCTATTGGAGAAAATAAATATCTTGTACTGGAGTAAATAACTTCTGCTGGAGTAAATAAATAACTTCTACTGGAGTAAATATATTCTACTGGAGTAAATAAATAACTTCTACTGGAGTAAATATATTCTACTGGAGTAAATAAATAACTTCTACTGAGTAAATATATTCTACTGGAGTAAATAAATAACTTCTACTGGAGTAAGTAAATAACTTCTACTGGAGTAAATAAATAACTTCTACTGGAGTAAATAACTTCTATTGAAGTAAATAAATAACCTCTACTGGAGTAAATAACGTGTACTTTTACTTCCTCTGGCTGCGGACACAGAACTCAGTAAAACAACAACAACACATTCAAAAATCACATTTTTTTTTATCCTTACAAGAACAAAACATCAAATTCCAAACTTATGCAAAAGCATCACTTCACAAAACAAGACCAAACAGTTCATCCATGATATTAACTGATCAGACAGCAGTGAGAACAACAGTGCAGCTTCCTCAGTGTCCTCAGGAGGTTCATCAGGCTGCTGCTGCCACCTGGTGGACGACTGACGCTGCAGCAGTCTGCACACTGACCCCCCCCCCACACACACCGACATCCAATACAAATCATTATAGGAAAATAGTGCGCGGCCAGTGACTCTTACCTATGAAAAACAATCTAATATTCAAAAAGAAGCATATCATAATTATCAAAAACACAGGATACAATAGTGCATCAATCTTAGAGAATTGCATCCATCGTTTACATTTTTATCCACGAGTGAAACAAGAAAACTGTGGACAAAATACAAAACCACCACAGTGAGAGTGACATCCAGACTGAGCTGGTTCAGGCTCGTATGGCTGAAGCATGTGAGATAAAAGACATGCAGGTGTTCATTATACACAAAGGGTTCATCAATAACCCGATCAGTGTCCGCTCACACATCCTCTGTTCCTCTACGTTACGTCACACCTTCCTGAGAGTCAGGGAATAAAAATATTGCTGTTTGTTCCATCAAACTTTTCTCTTCACCCACTTCACATTTCCTAAACTCACTCTCCAGCCAGCTAAAGTCAGTCAACCTTCCTAAACCCCGCCCCTTTCCGCTCTGTGCTCCAATCACAGTCGAGGAAGCCTCGGTCAGAACTTAGATATGCTATATGCTAGGCTAATCTATGCTGGAACGACAACCATATTCTGAAGATGGTTAAGATAAAATATCACATCTTAGCTAATGCTAACAAAACACTAGCTAACTATCTAACTAATCTACTTAATTGTTAGCTAGCTAGTATACGTTTCAAAGCGTTTTTGAAGATGATTAATGGATAAAAGTGACATATAGTGACATCTCATTAGCTAGCTAGTTATATCTGATAGCTACAGTTAGCCAAACATAGGCTAATTCACTAGCTAGTGATTGATGTAGATTAGCTAGCTAGTTTGCTAGATTTCTGCTAACATAAGCTAACTTTAGATGTGAATATATGTCATAGATTAGCCTAGCACATAGCGAATCTAAGTACAGGAAGTTGACAGAGGTTCTAAAAGGGACAGGGCTTAAGGTCAATTATTAGAAAAGTGACATTTCCGACGTTCTATGGAGGCATACTGCTGCCAGGATAACAAAAAAAAGCTCGGTTTTTCATTACAAGATGAAATGTTTCTTGTTTAACTGTGACTTTAAAATGTTTTCATGTTATTAACATAATTTGTTTTTTTTACTATTTTCTTGTTTGGAGGTTTTTCTCATTTGGAAAAAATTTAAGTTTCTTGTATAACGAAATCTTATCGTGATATAAGTTCCTTGTTTCAAAAAATACACTGATGTCTAATATTAGGAATATAAAGATGATAAACAACTTTGTTAAAACAGAACAATTTGGGAATTATGTCATAATGAATCAAAATCTTGTTATAACCAGAAACTGAGCTAATATTTTTGGCATATTGGCAGCAACAAACTGCCATAGATTTAAAAAAACAACATGAGAATTTTAAATTGTGACAAATATGATAAAATGATTTTGAGACAAAAGATAATTTTGGCATCATTGTTTCAATGTTTCGTGATTTGTCATGTGTTGCATTGTAAATTTACTGTATCACAATATATATTTTATCTCGATATAAAACGATATATCGGTGCTGTCGATCAAGAGAAAAAAGAAAAACAGATGTTTTTTAGCTGTGTGACTGTTATTTTCCATTATTTTAAATATTCTAAGTTAAGAAGTAGGAGAATGTTCTATGATAGAGGATTTTATCCATATTGCCATCTCCTAGTAAAATAATGCAGGCTGCTGAGGCCAGAGGCAGTTTTTCTTCACACTGTGCATTATTTTATATAATCGCACATGTATCAGTGCATCATTTTATATAACTGCACAGGTATCAGTGCATTATTTTATATAACCGCACAGGTATCAGTGCATTATTTTATATAACTCGCAGGTATCAGTGCATTATTTTATATAACGCACAGGTATCAGTGCATTATTTTATATAACTGCACATGTGTCATGCATTATCATCCTCATACCACGCCCGCTTACCAAAGATCAAAGGTTTGTTTACTCCTGTTTTAGGACAATAAACATAAACAAACAATATGCCAGAGCTGTGTGGTTATTTGAAAATAATGCACCCTCTGGCCAATCAGAATCAGAGTATTCTCTGTAGTTTTTAACATAGTGAAGTAGACATTCCATTATTGTGTAAATTAAAAAGACAAATGCTAACAATCTTAAACGGACTCATCTTAAGTCTTGTTAATTGTCTTTCGGGGCTTCCGTCATAAACATCCTCACACCTCGTAGTGCAGGTCATTGAGCTCCAGTCTCGTGTAATGGCGTCTGTCGAATGACTCCATCGCCTTGCGACCACCGACAGCCAGAGCAAGCGTGAGCACGGCGAGCCCCAGCACCATGAACGCTACAATGCCACTCTTCACTGCCCCCCGTGCCGCCACCGCTTTCCCCCGCACGCTCGAGTTCTGGAGGCCGTGCTCGGACTGGAGGGCGTCTTTGGGGACGATGACGAGAGTTGCTCCTGGAGTCGACCTCGTGGTGGACAAATCAGTGGTGGCAGGAGCTGTAGTAGGAGGAAGAGGAGTAGTAGTGGTGGTAGTAGGAAGAGGAGGAGCAGTCATAGTAGTGGTGGTAATACTGGGAGTTGTAGTTGTTGTAGTAGTAGTGGGAGTTGTTGTTGTTGTTGTTGTGGTAGTGGAAGGAGTAGTAGTGGTGGTGGTGGTGGTGGTAGTAGGAAGTGGAGTAGTAGTCGTAGTAGTAGTGGGAGTTGTAGTTTCAGTGATGGGCTGTGGTTTTTCAGTAGTTCTTGGTGCAGCCTCTTTACTGGCTGTTACAACAGGAAGTGATGTTGTGGAGCTCTGAGTTGTCTGGGCGGTGGCAGCGGTGGTGGTGGCGGTGGCGGTGGTAGTGGAAGGATGAGGCTTTGCTTTCTTGGTCGCTTTATTTTGCTTTTTGCTGGTCTTTCTTGTGGTGGAGATGGTCGTAGTAGAAGCTGTTGTTGTTGTTGTTGTTGTTGTGGTGGTGGGTTCTGGAGTCAGTGGAGGCATTGTGGCGATGATTATGATGGGTGGAGGTGCTGTTGTGGTTGGTGCAGAGATTGTGCTGGTCGGTGGTGAAGTACTTTCTGTGGTGGTTGTTGTTGTGGGAGCTTGTGTGGTGGTTGTTGGTGTAGTTGTTGTGGGAGCTTGTGTGGTGGTTGTTGGTGTAGTTGTTGTGGGAGCTTGTGTGGTGGTTGTTGGTGTAGTTGGAGCCAGTGTGGTGGTTTGTTCAGTGGTGGTCGTCATGATAACAGGTCTCACTGTGGTTGGATGAATCAAACCTGTAAAGGAAAGAACACAAATTCAAAAGTTTGTTGGCCAATAGGAAGCAACATGGAAGTAACGTAACCTGCAGTTCCTCTAACATCCACTAGAGGCTGGTTCCAGCACTGAGTCAATCTCTATAAGGCTCCATATTAAAATGCCCAACAGCACAAATAAACATATCCACTCAGAATGTATTTTACTAGCGATAACATTGGCGATCAGGCAAAGGTTAGTCAGCCAGATCAGCCTCGGGAGTCTGGATGAAGCTAGCTGACAGTATTTTGCTACATAAGCTACCGAGATAGCAACCAAGCTAACGTTATCCAGATAAAAGCACAATCAAACAATATGTTCCACTAGCCTAGCAGGAATGTTAGCTTTGACTTTGGACTCTGTGTTGTGGACTCTGTGTTGTGGACTCTGTGTTTTGGACTCTGTGTTGTGGACTCTGTGTTGTGGACTCTGTGTTGTGGACTCTGTGTTGTGGACTCTGTGTTGGACTCTGTGTTGCCCACTGTTGGCACTGTAGGGAAGCGGAGAGAGAAGGCACTCGGGAGCATAAAGGTCACAACCTTTGACCCTCATCCTACATAGAGACACGTAGAGACACATAGAGATCAGTCCACAGGCAGCAGAGGAACAAAACTACACTACAACCCGTTCACTCTCTGCTGATCAATAATCTGATTATTATAGAAACATATGGAAGCTTTCTGAGGACGAGATCAGATGAATGTACCTTTGTAGATGTCGTAGGTGTTGATGCCGTCCTGAGCCTTCATTAAAGGACAGTCCTGCTCTGTCTGACAGTGGAACAGGAAGCAGTTATCATCACCGGCGTGTTTGTTGGCGTTGAACACAGCCATGTTGCATTTGGCACCTTTACAAACACAAGAACATGGTGTCATAGTAGGCCTGTAGGGACGCGTCGACACACACACGTGGGAGACCAAAACCTTGCAGAATGGAGGACGAAACAGCAACCTCCTCACAGAATTCCCAATAAAAGCCCCAATAAAAGACCTAAAAAAAGAGCTCGCCCTAAATCATCGAAGGTATGGGAATACTTCAAATTTAGTCCCAAACGTAAAGGTGTGGTTATTTGTGCTCTTTGCTGTGGTGCTGGTGTGGTATGCCAACTCCATTTGGCAATGTGGGAGCATCTGGGGCGGAGGCGCCCCGTTGTCGCTCGTGGAGGAGACGGTGGCAGGTGGGTGCTGGCGTTGGCTGGGTTGGTTTCATGTTTGTGCGGCTTGGGCTCTGCGCACTTCGGTGGTGCTGACCGGCTGTCTTGGCTCTCTGTGCGGTTTGTTCATGCTGGGTTGGTGGCTAACGTTAACGTTGGCTAGCTACTGGCGCCTAGACAGCTGTGTTTAGCAAACATTAGTTATCATCTAATGTTGGCTTGAATGGTAGCTGGCTTACGGCTGCAGAACACAGCTATCTATAGTAGCTAACGTTGGCTGGCGTGGGCGTTGGCAGCCCAGCCCACCCTGCATGGGGGGCTGGGGTGGTTGGCTGGCGCCACCGGGCTGCGCGGCGCGCTGCACGGGCTGCACGGTGCGCTGCATGGGCATGAGATTGGTTTGGCCAGCGTTGGTGCTTGTTGTTGTCTCCTTCGCGGGTGGCAAAGGGGTGCCTCCGTTTCAGAGAGAGAGCTAAGATGCGTTGGTTAGCCTAGCACCACCAAAGTGCACAGCTGCTAGATCTAGCTAACGGTAGCAAGAAGATTGCAGTAGCTTTTAACGTTATCTGTCTAACGTTAGCTAACTCACGTTAATCGTCCAATTAGTCGTTAGATTAGTCGACTAATCGATAAAATAATCGCCCGATTAATCGTTTAATAAATAATCGTTTACCCCCAGCCCTATGTCATAGATTCCCTTTATTGTCCCGGATGGTAACATTATGTTGCAGTCAGGAGCACAAACAAACAAAGATGTGGAATAAAAGGTTGACGCTCTAACCAGTTCACTGTTTGGACCTCCGTATTTACGAACCCCTGCGTTCTCCTTAGGTTCTCCTAAACAATGCCTCTGTGTAAACACACAGCTAGCTCAACGCAGAGAAAATGTCCTTCACCTTTTTGATCCAATTCAGGCACTGTACTCATATTTGTATTTGAACATATAAAAAAGGGGTTTCACGTCATGATTGACAGCTGAGCTCTGCTCGGCGTATGGGCAGTACCTCCATAACGCGATGGTACCGTGGCTCCATATGGAGAAAGATGGCAGCGTACGTATTTCTGTACAGTGGGAGGAAGTGGAGACAGCAGCCGCCATTTTTCTCACCTGGCTTCACTTCCTCTGAGCAGCAGGCGAGGACGCAGTCCCGCTCTGACCGCACCACACGGGCGTCCATGGCGGTCGTGGGTCTGTTTAAGGCCAGTCTGACGTTGACGATGACACTCTGGTGTTGTCTGGAGAAACACGCCTCCGGTTCAACAGCCGACACAGGAAGTGACATCATCATCAGCAGGAGCGCAGCGACGATGAGCAGCCGGAACGTCTGCGAGGGTCGAGTGGAGGCGGGAGGAGACATGGCGGCGGCAGATCGACACTCTGTGATCAGAAACGTCTCACAGCAGGAGAGCAGAGATCCACACAAACGTACTAAAGGACAAAACACAGAGAAACAATCAATCACTGCCCCTGAAACCCTTAAACCCTTCAACCCTTCAACCCTGAAACCCTTCAACCCTTAAACCCTGAAACCCTTAAACCCTTAAACCCTGAAACCCTGAAACCCTGAAAACCTGAAACCCTTAAACCCTGAAACCCTTAAACCCTTAAACCCTGAAACCCTGAAACCCTTAAACCCTGAAACCCTGAAACCCTTAAACCCTGAAACCCTTAAACCCTTAAACCCTTAAACCCTGAAACCCTGAAAACCTGAAACCCTTAAACCCTTAAACCCTTAAACCCTTAAACCCTGAAACCCTGAAACCCTTAAACCTTGAAAACCTGAAACCCTTAAACCCTGAAACCCTAAAATCCTTAAACCCTTAAACCCTGAAACCCTTAAACCCTGAAACCCTTAAACCCGGTATTCTGGGCTACATAATGAAAGCTCTACAGGCTGTTTTGCAATGGTGGTGGATGGAGGGTGACCAGTCTACCAACAATGGTATTCTGGCCCCGAAAACCCAGATTTGCACTATTGTTGTTGTTGTTTGCTGTGTTAATTCTTGTAGAATTTGAAGAAGGAAAACCCCATATGTCCGTGCAATGGAGAGAGTCAGTGAACTCCCCCTTTTTGTAAACCATCTTCTTTTTCCCAAACCTAACCTGTTAATCAACCCTAACGTGTTAATTAACCATAACCTGTTAATAAAGACGACGAGGAAACAACTTTTAAAATGCTTGTTTTCTGAAACAAGCGTTTGGGTGATCAGCGCTATGCTAACTTAGCTTAAAAGAAAGTAAAACTGGTCTTTAGATCTCATTCACCAAATCTGAAGTTGATCTGATCAATTGTCTACGAGGAGTTTGTTCAAATATAACATCTGAAACGCACTTATTTAAAATTATTGCTACCAGTTCATTTTGTTTTGTTTTTGACGCCAGAAAAAAAGATTAATTTAAGTGAATAATAATAAATCCCTTCAGTTACATTAATATTGAACCCTGA